TAGAAATTGTTTTAATGAGAATTGTAATTAATTGTGTTTGATTGGTATAATTTTCCACCTGGAAAATGTTGAAAGTTTGGTGTCTGTTTGATTTTGCTTTTCATGAAAATTGTCCATTAAAGTGATAATTTCTTTTACCATTGGGTCTATAATTTGTTTCACTTGCCAAAAAAAAATTAAAAATATACCGAATACCAATCGTTTGACTTTGTTTTGCATGAAAATTGTCAATAAAAGTGAGAAATTTTTTTTTACTATTAGGGCCTGTTTGATATGTTGCTTTTTCTAGGGAAAATGAAATTTTTTTTGCCAATTCCAACTTTCTGTCCTGTTTGATAACGTTTTTTTTTTTTTTTTTTTACCTGAAATTACTTTTTTCGGTTTTGCCCACGTGACCAGCTTTTCCTTGATTTTAAGGAATTCCAATTCCTTTGGTTTTGGCGGGAAACAATTTTACATCTTTTTTTTTTTTTTTTGGGCAATGAAAATAAATTTTACCCCAATTATAAAAGAAATTATCCCTTTAATTGATAATTTTCATGAAAAACAAAGTCAATCGAACACAATTTTTTATTTTTTTGGCAATCTAAACAAATTCTATTCCCAATTGTAAGAAATTTTATCCCTTTAATTGACAATTTTCATGAAAAATAAAGTCAAACGGACCAGGTGGAAAATTATACAAATCAAACACATTTAATTAACAATTCCCTGAAAAATAAGTTCTAGGCAATTACTTTCCCTGAAATTCGTTTTTATTTCACTCATTTTCCATCATTGCTATCAAACGAACCCTTAAGTCTAGAATTTTTCCCAATTCCAAAAAGAAAAAAAAAAGCTAGAAAACACAAAACCGCCAAAACAACAAGAAAACCAATTCCTTGAAAATGAGGAAAATGGGAGCGCGAGGGGTGGGGGTGGAAAAGGTTTTCCTGAAATATTTTTTTTCACAAACAAGAGTAAAGGTGGAAAAGGGAAATTATTTTCCAAATTCTATGGAAAATTTTTACAATCAAATGTTTGCCTCATGTTTATAAGTCTCTGTTTGGAAAAGATTATTTGTAATTTTTAGTAAGTGGAAGAGATTAGGAAGTTTGTGAATAATAATTTTGAATTGTGCTTAAAATTAAAGTTTGACATTAATTTTTTCAAAAAAATGTTTTTCAAACATGGGCTAAAAAGTAAAAACACCAACCATTTTTTTATCCTCGAACCTGTAAATAATTCCGACTTATTCATAACTCATTTCTATATATTTATAATTTAACCAATTTATAAATACCTCACGAACATGCTCTAAATAAAAGGGGTAATGCTACATGTACACACACACTTTTACACAATCTTTTACACCTCTCTCATATGGAGGGGAGTCCACAATTATTTTATTATGTGTGAACACACACACACACTTTTACACAATCTTTTACACCTCTCTCACATGGAGGGGGGTCCACGATTATTTTATTATGTGTGGGCCCCCTCCATGTGAGATGGGTGTAAAAAATTGTGTACACCAAGCATTATTCAAATAAAAGTCCATTGAGCCAGTTGAAGGAAAATAGAAATTTGTTATTAATGCACCATTTTGCGAGCTGAAAAGGGCAATACAGTTAACTTGTTCAAACACAGGTGCTCGCGGTACCTCCAAATAGTGAACGGCAATTTTTGTCATCAACAGAAGAAGGTAATTATATTGAGAAGCTAATTTGTAGTTGATTAACCTAAGAAGGATAAATAGTTCACAGGTTATTCTTAGTTATGATTCAGAAATTTGCTAAATCTTTGGCAGCTAGCCTTCTTCTTTCATCAGATATATACTGTTTTCAAATTTTCTTTTATGGAGTTTTCAGTAATTTTCTGTTCATTACTTCATGGGGTTTTTGGTTTCTTCAAAACCCAAGTTTTGCCTTGTAGGTGTTTGTGATATTGTTTCACCTAAAAAGACTTCCATATCCTGTCATTCCAATCAAAGTCAAGAAAAAATTATTAATGATTTCCGTGCTTTCACATACTAATATGATAAAAAATAGCTTATTTTGTCTGATTAATTTTACCGATTCAATTTCTATTATTATCTTTTTTAAAGACCTCTTAAGAAAAAAAAATGAAGAAAACTTATCTATATCCTTATAAGATAATGTATAGGGATGTTTCTTTTTTCTCTGGATTAATTCCAGCTTGATGTAATTTTGATATGGACTGCTAATTCAAAGGAAAACTGCAAAATGTGCAGCCAATGGAATTGTTTCAGCTGACCTTGAGGCCACGCTTTCAGTTTACTTATGCGAAAGAAAAATGCTTAATTGATTTCTCATCGTCTTATGGGGCTTCTCGTACGTGGAGAAAGAAACAGGGCAGCACTTCATGTTCGTCATCGAGAATGATGCCTTTGAACCTATCCGCTCGACAACTTTTGAGGTCACCTTTAAGGGTATGTAATCCTACTCTTCTTCCCTAACTTAATTATAAACTCTTTTACGGTTAGTTATATATCTATTCTTGTTATTGTCATATTATAAGCATATGGTTAATGATTTGGACTGTGACAACAGGGGGATGGTATTAGAAGAAGTGGTATAAGAGTCTCTAAAATAGAAGAATTACTTAGGCTACGTGGTGGGAAGGAAGAGGAAGAAGATGAATCCAGTGGGAGTGAGGCAGAGGAGGAGAATGATGATAACCGTCTCATGGATGAAAAAGAGAGGAAAGAGTGGAGGCAAAAAATTAGAGAAGTTATCGATAAAATTCCTGATGTTGATGAAGAGGTTGACCTTGTCGAGAGAAGGAAAAAGATGCAAAAGCTTTTGGCTGAATATCCTCTTGTGGTTGAGGAGGACGATCCAGATTGGCCTGAGAATGCTGATGGGTGGGGTTTCAACTTGGATCAGTTCTTCAACAAGATCACCATAAAGAATGTCAAGAAGGATGATGATGAGGATTACGATAGTGAAAATGAAATAGTGTGGCAAGATGATGATTATATTCGTCCAATCAAAGACATCACCTCTGCAGAGTGGGAAGAAGCTGTGTTTAAGGATATAAGTCCTTTAGTTGTTCTTGTCCACAATCGCTACAAAAGGTCAGCTCTCATTTTCCTCAACTCTGTTTCCATTAATTATTTTTATCTCCAAGTTGGTATTTGCTTCACGATCTCCAACTCTGTTTCCTCAACTCTAGGTTACATGCACACACAAACTAAAGAGAAGAAACGGAAATTTGAAGAGCAGCTATATTTGGGTTGCAAAAGATGAAACACAAATTTGAACAATAGCTATATTTGCCTAATATAAGAAAAGGGAAATAAATGAAATGATGATGATATAATATATAAATGTAAAATTTTAAAGAATTTAAGTTGACATGTCTGTGTATCCTGCTTCCGTGTCTGTGCTTCTTAGACATTAGCCATGTCCCTATGGTGAAAGTTGGGTAAATGAATTGATGATATCAAGAAGAGTTCAAGTGATGCCTATTGCCAATGCACAATGAGATTTGGTGTCCAGTGTGGTGGAGGTAGAACTTCGAGGGGTTTTGGTGGATTGTTCTAGTTTTTGACTTTGACAAGGATAGACCTTTAATTTCAGTATAGAACATTTTACTTTCTGAACACTGCTTTGCAGTATCCTCGACGTCCATGGTGGAATTTTTCAAGTCCTATGATATTATTACTACTAAAGCCTCTTGTGATTTGGATAGTTATTTACTTTGTGCATTTTTATAGTTTCCTAGCTTCCATTCTCTTAAAGTTTACATGATGCCTTCAATCATCTGTGTAAAGACGTTAATGAACTTGATCAAAGGGGATATTGCTTGAATTTATGAATCAAGGACGGTGCTTCCCGTTTGATACCAAATGAATGTAATCAGAAACTTGCAGAAACCACACAGGGTAAATTATTTTTTGTCCTTTACATTGTTATTGACAAGTACTATTTCAATTCTGCAGACCAAAGGAAAATGGAAGGATTCAGGATGAATTGGAGAAAGCTATTCACATCATATGGAATTGCAGGCTACCATCACCAAGAGTAAGTAAAATTTTCAGTTGAAAATTATTTTCATCTTCATTTTTTTTACACACTAATGAGCATTAACAAACAGTGTGTTGCCATTGATGCTGTTCTGGAGCTTGATTTGGTCTCTGCTCTACAAGTCTCGTCCTTCCCAGAACTCATTTTCACTAAAGCTGGGAAAATCTTATACCGTGAAAATGGTAAAATGATGTACACCGTAATATATATTGATTACTTATTTACATTATCTGAATGTAATTTTTCTTTTACTCGGTATCCAGGGGTCAGAACAGCAGATGAGTTGTCAAAGATAATGGCATTCTTTTACTATGGAGCCGCCAAGCCACCATGTCTGATCAACGTCAAAAACACAGAAGAACCAATTCCTGCAGTTGATATGAGCACCAAATCTAACTAAAGTCTAATGTTATAAACATTTCCCGTATCTGCTACAGTAGCCTTCTGTTGTCACTCACAACTGTTTACGTTTTACTGGTTACTAGAATTTTGGTGATAACAGTCTCTGCGGACAGGTGCCAGTGGTGTTCGTTCAGGTGAGTACCCTGTGAGGAATGTTATATTCATCAATTTGAAGTTCTGGTATAAGGCAGTTCTCATTCCTGCTGATACAAGATCTCTGAGCGGCTTGGTGTTGGAAGGGCAGACAAGGATGTAAACATTTGAATGAGGGTAGAGTCAAATTTTCACGGTATTTATGTTTTTTGGGGTTTATGAATGTATAGCTTTGCCTAGTATTTAGAAATAAATACGACGAACTGGTATATATTTTGTATGTACTTTCTCACGTTAAACTAGGAATCAAAATTGATCATCTTTCAGAAATCGCTTATTTAAAATCCATTTAAATACCTTCAATCGGCCGGTTCAACCGAAATTCGGTGATCCGGACACGATTTTGCCGATTATCAAGGTTTAATTTAAATTTCACCACTCGAACTTATCTCACCTATTGTGACACATTTTTTAGTTGTAAGTTAATACCAGAACTAATCTTCTACTTTACCTCTAAATAGTATCATGAAACAAAGACTGTAAAATTGACGGTTATGGTCATGTCCTTATAAGTTTAAAGTGTATGATTTTAACAGTTTTATGATATGATTTAGTGGTAAATTAGCATGTTAGGCAATTATGAAAAAATATGATTGATTGCAATATAATTGTCAATTAAGCAATTTTTATCAATTTGGAAGACTGACCATAACATAGCAATGAAATGTAAAACTGTCCTTTTTTGATAATCATTATTTCAAAATTCTTTGTTTTACATATTTATTTTTAATAACACATTTACACGATAAAACATTCAGTATGTGAATCCAAAAATTTTCATCACTTTTTAATCATACATTTTTCAAAAATTCATCGTTCAAAACTTTGTTTTTGCCAAATAATGATCATCAAATATAGGCGAAGTTCAATGAGAATTTGAAATTCAGCCCGCATGGGGTCACCCATTTGAGTGTGTGTAAAACTTTTGTGAAATTTTTTTTTGTATGTAAAGCCCGAGATGTAGTAAAAAATTTTGGATTTACGTGAGAACGTGTGGTTTAAAAAAGAAAAAGAGTTTTTGAAATAGCGTAGACAAACAGGGTTCAATGAATAAGATAAATTAAAGGTTAGTGATCCAGTTGAAATTTTTCGCTGAAAATTCAGTACAACACATGAAATTTACCCTGGAACTAACTGGGAATTGTGATCCTTGTGCAAGTAGTGACAGATTTTACTCATTTTTTCATGATAGAATTCTTCAAAACAACAAGAACAGAAGATTCAGAAAACGATTTATAACGCTATACATTTTTGAAGAAGAAAAATCCAAGCAGAAATGAAGACAAAACAATGCAACACTAATTTCCAAATAAAGACTTCGAAAATAACACAGATAATTAAGAAAGGCACTAAAATTCTATGCACCAGTAACGCATGAGAACATTCTGTGGCTCCTCAATCTCACGAATTGCTTCGACTTAGCAGCATCTTCTGAAGAATAATCTAAACGAACAGATCTCGATCGCCGGTGAAAACGTGAAATCTTTTCGATTTCAGGCTGTACTGCAAATTGATTGCTCAAATAATCATTTTCATTTGAGTAGAAATCGGAGCTTTTTGAAGTAGAAGGCAGAGATTCGTATTGGCGGTGCCGGTGAGTTGTGTTCTTCTTTATGGTTTTCAGTACTATTGGAATTAAGCCTTCCATTTCGTTCTGACTTCTTCTTCTGCGTTTGCTTGGAATTTATTAATCAACTTTTCCACCGAATGCAGAAGGACCCACTGGGCGGTCCGAATTGGCGTACACCTTTATTCACAAACAAGATTAAGTGCCCGTTTGTCAATCATTATTGAGAAGAAAATGATGTAATGAATAGTATCTTTTGAAAAATGTGTGGTTGAAATTGAAAGAAATTTTATCGATTTATGTGTAGAATATTTTATTATTTGAACGTGTGGTAGAAATTGATTACTGTAGAAAACCATTTTTTGAAAAATGGTAGACAAACAGGAGCTAAATTCCTAATTTGACAATTATTATTTGGAAAATGCTACGAGTACATAAGTGTAATCCAATGGGGCGTTGGGTGTCCTTTATGAACACCCCTATGGATACACTGATGAGTAACTTATGTACCCATAGTACAATCCACTCAAAATGATGGGGCGTCGGTGTTTATAATGGACACCTCCATGGGTACACTCATGTACCCATAGTATAACCCACTCAAAATTTTTCTTTTCTTTTTAGTAACGAGTTCTTTGAAAAATCACAGTTCATAACTCAAATATCTTAAAATAATGACCGTCAAACATGAGTCTCTCTGGAATAACTTTTATTATTGTTTCTACTTTAATTTTTGTAGAAAAAGCTTTAATTATCAAAATAGACTCAAAAATAATTTCTTAGTTTTATACGCAAATTTTTATTTTTCAAAAAGTAAATAATTTGTATGATTTACATATGAGAAATGATTTGCTCATAGATTTTATTCTTGCAAGCAAATAATAATACAATCACTTTTGGATTTGGCCAATTGGTTGACACATTCGTCAAAATGAGCTATCAATTTAGGTCATTTTGTCAATAATTGGAGTTAATGGTAGACTTTGGTGTCCTTTTCAAGGAATTTCTTTTCTTCTTCTTATATTCTCATTAGGAACAAATGACAAAAAAGAGAGTTGGTATTAGGTTTTTGGTAGGTGTCTTCCACTAAGGAAAATGTCATTGCTTGAACTCGTTTTTGAATAAATTTCATAAGCACCACTGAATTTTTAGAGAGATTTTAATTGGATTACTAAATTTTAATTTGTTTCAGTTGGGTCAATTTAGTTTTAATTTACTCGTCAAACTTCAATTCTGGTTTCGGAAATTCAACATTTTGCCACATGTCGTCTTTCAAATTCATAAAAATTGCTTAGTTGACAGTTATGTAAAGATATTGTTATAACTTACATTTTATCATTTTCATTTCTATGCCAAAAACTCATTGTGATATAACCCCACGAATGCACGGGTATGAGTAGTGCTAACTCAATTAAGACTAACTTCAATCCGAACAAACACAAGTTCGATGTTTTGGTTATTCTTTACTACTATTCATAGGTTATCTAAATAAGCAAATAAAAGTGATTTGACGAGTTATTGAGAAAACCTCAAGCTCGCATCAGTAGTTACACTATGATTAGAATTCACCACCTTTTCCACTTCGACCCCAATTCTTGTAGTTTTTTGAATGGAATTGATGATCGATATTTTCAATTTCTTCAATAATCTCTCTCGAATAGAATTGAACTAATATTTATAAATGGCCCTAATGCAAATATGCAAACACGTGCGAAAAAAATGGACTATTTCAATTAACGACCACACAAAGTATACAGATATATTCATATCCTCTATTCGATTTTATGATAATTATTTCGATGTGCTAAATCTATTTTCGACTCTTTAAAAGTAAAATAAGTCACAAATTCAATCTAGTTGGTGATCAAATAATTGAAGACAATAGCAATTAATCAAAATTTAACAAATACTTAAAGAGTAAAATAAGATTGTAGGATTAAAGCTTAAAAAACGATGTTTCTTCGCCATTCTAATGCATGTAGATTTAGCCTAGCATGATTAAGTAATGATAGAACAATTTATCACTATATAAACAACGGAATAAAATAGAAGAAAAATCTTGATTCCTGAATCTTTTCAATTATGTCTAGAATAATTCTTCTCCTTCTTGCCTTGAACCCAAAATCTTGACTTGATGTCTTCTTTGAGAGAATAATAGTGTTTTTATCTCCAGAGTTCTCACTCTTTTAACTTCCTAGACTTGTGATATATATTATATGTTCTCTTAAACCCAAAAAACTCAACCCCCCAAGATAATCAAAACAACCTTAAAATCATGTTTTCAACCTTTAGACCCCTCTTTGCATTAGGAACTCACACCTACGAGCTCCCATGCTTGCACAATGAGCACTTGCTTGTAGGTTTCACCACCGGTGCAAGCATTAGAGCACTTTGGTACGAGTTCTACCCCTTTACCCGAGTAACCTTTAATAATCCGCATATAATGTTTGGTAAGGAATAAACTTTGTGCTCTAATTTCCTCACCTAGCGTGCGCATTGGCTCCTCATTTCGCTTCTTCTTTTTGCTTTCCTTTTCTAATACTCAATTCCACTTCAAAACACTTTGGTTCTTCTTGCTTTTATGCTCTCTATTATCTTTCAATGCTCGATTTTTTTTTTTATCTTTAGTTCAAAACCTCACTTTCTTCTCATTTTCTTGCCCTTTACATTATTGTAACTAAAGTTCTAGGTTCTCGTCCTACAAAACAAAAACAAATAAAAACTCAATAAAAATACACTATAACGCTCCGAATATAAGTAAAATATCTTAGAATACGGACCTAAATAAGTGTATTCAGTGCCCCGTGGCGATTATGTAAATGGCTAACTACATTATGGCAGCCACAAAAAAATTTCCTTCAATTTGGGAGACGATAAGTAATAGAACATGATATTGGTCTGAAACTAAATTGAAGTTCAATGACCAAATCAAGATAAATTAAAATTTAGTGACCCAATTAATAAATTGATAAAAGTTTAGTGATCACACATGAAATTTACCCACAATGTTTCAAACACATAATTTATATATATAAAACATTATTTGTGCACATTACTATTTAAAATAACATAGTTTGAGTCCATTATTTGGTTCAAATTATAATTTTTAGAATAAATTTTTTTGTGAAAATGTGTGGTTAAAAAAGAAGATTTTTTTTTTTTAATTTACGTGTAATATTGTCTTCCGAAGGATTGTGTGATTGAAAATAAAAGAAAGAAAAGAATACATTTTTTGGGGGTAACGGAGGCCAATCATGGCTAAAAGCCAAGGTCTTTGTCTTTTTCTTGTTCACCTAATTCACTTACTGGACCATAGAAATGACACGTGTATGGTAGACAAATATTTAAGAAGTCATGTGAATTTGATGAAGGCTGCGTTCGCCTCTGTTTGACAAATTTGTAAATGATTGTGAATAAGTGAAACTAGATAACAAAAAAATTTAAGCATGAATATGTGGATGAAATTAACGTTTGATTTTAATAAAAAAATTTTATTAAGTGATTTTAGATATTTGAATCAGTATAATTTATATTTAAATTAAATTTTTAACGACAATTTTTTTTATTGAATTACATCTTTAACAACTACTACTAGAAAATAACTAGGTAATAAGAGAAATTTAATCTCGTCGCCATGAATTCTTCTTTCGAAGAAGATCCATGATGGTTCTGATTGCAGTTTTCTTAGTGGGTGGCGTCAATTGGCCATGGCTTTTCATATTAGACGTTGTTGACGTCGAAATTTTGTACTTTCAATGTGGTCAACAATGTTAAGGGATATATATCCCACATCGATAAATGATGTTGACACAGATCAATTAATAAAGATTCTGGGCTACTCCTCTTAATAAGGTTTACGTCCTCTGGATCAGGACAGAGTCGGTGGGGGCCTCAAGGTTGGGATTCAACTATTTTTTAAAAGGAAAAAAAGATAACGCACCTTCATCGGTTACTAGTTAGCATTTGATTCTTGCAAGAAAGTATTGGAAGAAAATAATCCAAACAGTTATTGGAAGAAAATAATCCAAACGGTTATCAACTTATCATCAAATCAAATCAAACCATGGCAGAACGCAAGAAAATCATCATCGACACGGATCCTGGCATTGGTATATGTTCATATTTATATCTGCTTGTAAATATAAATTTATAATCTGAGTTCAGTTGCTTAAATTGAGATCCGGATTTCGTTGTTCTGTCGTGATTTTTTTACTGATGCTGAGTTTTTATCTGCATAGATGACGCGATGGCGATTTTTTTGGCGCTAAAATCGCCGGAAGTGGAAGTGATTGGGCTCAGTACTATTTATGGCAACGTCTACACAACTCTCGCCACTAGAAATGCTTTGCATTTGGTACCGATTTTTCGCTAATTTATATGTTATGATATCTCTATTCATTTGTTTGGTTCTCGAGTTTCGTAAAGTGTATTTTAATTCCAGATCAAGGTGCAGCCTTTGAAGCAGAGCTGAGAGCTAATAATTAGCCTTTTACTTCTAAGAGAGTAGCTTTCCAATTGTATTAACTACTAGGTGATTATAAATTGATTAAATCAGAAATAGATATAAATGAGCAATGCATAAGTCCATAGTACTTGTGATCATATCAAGCACCTACCAAACAAGGGCACTTCAAATGGAAGGGCATGGTATAATAGGGACCAGAGAGTACATATCTGATAAGGTACAACTCTCAATAAAGTGAATGGATAGTCTACTGTTGATGTCTTATATGAAGTTGAAATTTAGTCAACAGGGGAAAATTAGCTATAATAGTATTTCATAAAAACTATGGCTATAATATAAACTATGTGATTTAGCTATATTGTTTGTTATGACTTATATATAGCTGAATGATCTCGTAATACTATGTCCTAATATTCAAGGTGTAAAATTTAATTGAACTTAATGAAGCATCATTTCCTACTTATCTTCGGCCAATTTCATGGATCCTTTTCTTCCATTCTGCTCGATCAAGATTATCTTCAAAAGTAAAGGTTAAAATCCTCTCTAATTGCCTCATTTTGATTTGATCTTATATTAACCTTTTACTGTAAGTTTACTAAATGTTAATTTCATCAAATTTTTAACTGGTGCATGTAACAGTTTTCATTGAGTATGCTCACCCCATTCTTAAACTATTATCCAACAATTTCTTCTACAATATTTGCTACCTTAACTAACTCATGAATATGGTCATTTGTTATTTTCCACTAGTCTTACAACTGCACTATAAAATTGATAGGAATTTGTTGCTTCAATGAAACCCCATAGACATTCCAACACCTCCAGTATCTCCTCACCTCTGAATATTAAGATTAAATATCAACAGTGCTAGCTTTTCAAGTACTTCCTGACCTCCAATCTCCACTGTCTCTCTTGTTCTTTTACAATCAGAATCACATTCCACATGATTAATCTTACCCTAAACAATTTTGAACTGTTTATTTGTAAACACCCTCGGGCCACAGCAATGTAGCAGTTATTCCTTTATAGTGTTGTCTAGAAAAAGGATGCACTATGAGACGTCATCTTGTAAACCCTTAGTTAATTCATCCATGATCAAAAAAACAAATACAGCCACACTTACCCTTCATTCAGTCCTTCCATAACTGAAACCTCACGAAGTCTCCTGATCACTACATTATTACAACTGGAGAGTTTAGAGAATTTGCTATTACTGAATGGTTGGGTCAAGGGTTGCTTCTGATTTTTATTTGAGTGTTTTGATAATAAATAAGTAAACTAAGGGTATACAAGATCAGGACCCAAAACACTTTTTGCGGATAATATAGTTCACGTGGAAGAGAACACAACCTTTGCTAATTTGAAGTCAAAAATAAGACTAGAAAAGTTGCCTTTATTGTAATTATCTTGTGGTGAATGTGTGAGTAATTGCAGCCATTAATACTGCGAATACACATCAACCTTTTACTCTAGGTGAATTTGTTGCCCTTTAGTCTAGTAGTATTGATAAACAAATTAGTCACATACACAATTGGCAAAGTTAGATACATCTGTAAAAAATGATGTATAACATTGGCATAGAACTCTACGCGTACTAGTTTTGACCGTGTTCTCGGGCGGTGGGTGAATGGAAATTCCTTTAGTCTTGTTTGTACTTTCCATGATTGGTTAGATGAAACACTTACTATTTATGGTGATCACTGAGACAATAATTCTATTCTGTTGTTGGTGTTGCTTTCTTATGTATTTATTCATTCAACCAATTCTTTGTTCGTGAGGCAATGATTAAATTTTTAAGTTCTAGTGATATATTTTGATAATTTTGGCCCCTGATTTTTCGAGTATTTTTTTATATTACAGTTGGAGATAGCAGAGAGGATAGATATTCCTGTGGCTGAGGGCTCTCATGTGACAATCACCGTATGTATAGTTATTACATTGTATATATTTTGTGCTTTTATATATGATAAAATCAATGCGTGATATAGACTTTTGCCTTTTCAGTTTTTATCAATGAAATGAGCAATTCTTGATCTCCACAAACGACAAACTGTATATGCATAAAAACATGGAATGACATTTAGGTAGTTAGGTTGCACATCATATACGGTGTTCCATTTATATAACCTTTACCAGTACTATAGCTAGACCTTTCTATCAGTCATACACTTATACTTAATGAGTTTGCTGACCTTGGAGAAATCAATGGCTTCATTTATAAAGAAGGTCATCATTTCAGTAGCACCAATATAATCGGCATCTCCTTTATAATGTCACTGGTTTTCTGGATTTCCTTTTTGTTCATATGATTGATGTTTCAAATAAGTTTTTCAGGAGGTCAAGAAATTATGAGTTACTAACTTCTATGGAAAATAAAAAGCCAGAAACTTGTCCTATTTTTTTCCAAAAATGACAAAGTAGATGATATGTGGTGGTTTATGAATTGCATTCTCAAGAATGGATTATGTCTGTTTCATTTGTATGAGATATAACAAATTTCAAATGCTAATGATCATATGATTTTGCGATATGCATCTACATTTTTTTAAGACACAAAGGTTCATGTTATATACAAACTAGGTTCTTCCAATATTATTGACTAAGAAGGAACCAAACTGATTAAGGTATATCATTGGAAAAAGGTATCTGGAAGCTGTCATTATAATTTATGGGGAACTTAATGCAACTTGGAATGCTTTTCTGTCAGTTCTTGGTTTGCTTGCTGATTTATCTATTTAACTGCTTAATATATGAAAGGCATATCTGAAAGCAGATTCTCTTATTTGAATTATGACTTATAGATTCACTTCATTTGCAATTCGTGTAAAGAAAGGTACAAAACTTCGAATTGCTGATTTCGTCCATGGTACGGATGGACTGGGAAACCAAAACTTTCCTCCGCCAAAAGGAAAGCCAATTGAACTGTCTGCTGCTGATTTTCTTATCCAGCAAGCTAATCTTTATCCTGGAAAGGTCACTGTGGTGGCCTTGGGTCCCCTAACGAATATTGCACTGGTCAGTTTCCCAAATTCGCGCAATCAATTTTAGGGTGTGTTTGAGATTGCATTTATTTTCCACGAAAAATGTCAGTTTTCCACCCAAATTCATACTTTGAAGTGTTCGATTGTTATTTTTTCCACTGGAAATATTTTTCAACTTTTGAAAATATGTCTAATTTTCCTTGTTTCTAAGGAAAACATTTTCTTTGGAGGAGTAGGTTTTTATTTTCCTCAAAACAAGGAGAACATTTTCTTTTCTAGGTGAAATTTTCCATGTCAATCAAAAACACTCTTAGTTCTTTTTGGAAATATTCTAACTAGATTAATTGATTAATACAGGCTATACAATCAGATCCTTCCTTTGTCAAAAACATTGGGCAAATTGTTCTTCTTGGTGGTGCATTTGCAGTAAATGGGAATGTGAATCCTGCAGCTGAGGCAAATGTGAGTTGCTCATTCAAGTATCTGTGTGTGTAAGCCATATTTCCTGGTACTATTTTCTTGATTTGTTTCCTTGTTTTCTTTAAATCTTTATTGGACAACAAGATTTTTGGAGATCCAGAGGCTGCAGATATTGTATTCACAAGTGGAGCTGATGTTTTGGCAGTTGGGATAAATGTTACCCATCAAGTTGTTTTAACTGGTAATCATTTTCCTTTTGTTGTTTTTTAATAGTGTAAACTGCATCGACAAGCCCCCTATCTGTCTTATGTTTTGTGTTATCATAGTAGTGTCTTAGGATGTGATGACCAATTTTTCTCTCAGGTCATACATGATTGATATTAATCGTGCTGTTTATCTGTCCAATTCAACTACTTTCGCAACTTCCTCTTCAACAGTTTTGGTGGGACATATGGGTGAAACTTTTTTCAAAGAAACGGAGAACTTTAGTTTGTTTTCACATGGTAATTGTCAAAACAGTTTATAGACTTGTCCATCACGAATCATAGCCAACTGGTGACTGCCAAAACAAACTCTTTTGAAGAAACACTTAAGATCTTAAATGAAAACCTGCAAACGTATAAGTTAAGAGTTATTTCTCTTCTGCTCTTATTTTTACTGTTCAATTCTACATTTTCCGTTTTATTTATATTTTATAAGATGGAGTGGATTGTAATGTATTTGTAACTGTATCTGTATGAAACTGTTTCTTATGAAGATATGATGGCACCTAAACAAGCATTAAGTGCTTATCTGGTTTATATAGAAGGATCATATTATGGTTAACCATTTGTAAATTCAAAAGAAGTTATGCACAACAAATTATTTCTAGCAAAAGTTTTGGACTTATTTGTTTTACGGTGTCGAGTGTGTGGGACAAAATGTTTCATATTTTGCAAAGAACTAAAAAAGCTCATGTCCATAAAATGTGATCTCAAACATGTTAGAAGTGATGAGGGTGGACCATACCAAAAATGACTACTTGTGGTTGCCAAGCATCTGGTTGCTTTATAGCTTTGAGTAGGTTTATCAATGAATCAAACAGAGGGAAGAAAAAGGATTCATCTAGCTGACTCAAAATTTATTGGAAAACAAGGCTTAGTTTGTTATAGTAATAGTAGCCTAGGTGTTCAAGTGCTTGCTTATTTAGCAACAAAGTTGCAGCCGAAGATAATTTTCAAAACTTTCCGCGCATTAAACCTTGCAAAATTTTAACCATTCCTGTAGTCTATAAATTGCTTCTAAATATGCCAACTTATCCCAGTGTAGTTTCAGTATCCATAATAATCCAGATGACTATGCTTATATAGAGGTAACACATGCCAGTGCCACAAGCTTCAACTTATGAAGATATGTATTCGTTGAACAAAAGGTTAACATAAGCAACCATTGTGTTTTTGGGGTTGTGTCAACTTGTCCTCTTTGACTCTTACAATAAACTAGAGGCCTGTATGATGGTGATAGGCAATGAGAAGTATGATTAGATTTTAGAGTGTTGGCTTGAATAGTAGCTATTTCTATCCGAGGGAAATAATTTGCAAGTGACCTGTTTACATGGAGAGGTGGTGGAGATAATAATTGAAATTAACGCAATCTCAGCTATTGAGGTGCCCTTATAGGTAAGGCTAGTGTCATAGCTGCAACAGTAAATCATCGCCAATTAAGTTTATGCATATTTTGAGACCTTTGTATTCGAGAAATAATACATATGAGCTCTACCATAGCTATACCATCAAAACATAACATAGATTAGAAACCATGCCAACAAAGAAAAATAATACCTAGAAATAAAACAGGAGGTGTGAGGAAAGCAAAGAGAAGAACCTTAGAAAGAAGAAAGGTATGCAAAGCAAAATAAACGGGGAGAAAATTGAGCATGGACAACTGTGAGAGAGAGAGAGAGAGGAGCAGATTGATGAATTTAATTTTTATATAAATAAACTTGAGTCACTATGCAATACTGATTATTCTTATTTTTTGGTCTAACATTTGTGATAATAAATAATTTGTTATGGAAAAAAAGTTGCTATTTAATTATTTCTACTTAATGAGTTAATAATTATTCACCATTAATGACTTATGTCATGAAGTGCTTTGTTGGCTAAGCTTTCAAGTGCTTATAAGAAGTGGGTCCCAAGGAATGTATGGTTAACTAGTAGACAAAAGTTGTGTGACCAAATTAATGTGTAGTTAAAAATGATGTTTGACCAGTTTATAAATTTGAAAAATCTTTGCCAAACTCAAAATAGTAAAGTAATTAAGAAACTGATACTTTTTTTAGTTACTGCGTGGAGAAAGTTAATGCTTATTGCTATGTAAATAAAGAAGTCCACAAATTCCAACAAATAGAGTTGTAATACCTTATATTTAATTAAAACTATGCCATAGATGATGTATCTCAATAGTCATGAAAATCTTCTTGGTTGTATAAAAATTTAACATCAATATTTTATTTTGTAAGATTGAATTTATTTTGTAACACATTTGAAAGAGTTGTGAACCAATTAATAATACCCAAACATTATTTGAAAAATAAATGTTCATTAGCGTTATACATGTACCTGTCTACATCCATATGTTTTTTCATTTTCTAGTTTTGGCTAAATTTTTTGTAAATTCTATGAAAAATTCACACTACATTTGTTTGTTTTATGCTCGCCGATAATTTTTCATCCTGTCTTTTACCTTTCTTTCACATTTATGTAATCTTCTTGAGAAACTCCTGTTACATTATTTTCCTAACAATCAAATGAAGCCTTGAGGAAATGAAAATTTTTAATTCCTTAAGTCTCAGTCTCATCCGTTTCTTGGCTAGGCAGAAGTGCGAAGATTGGTTTGTCGATTGGCAGATGAATCTGAATTCTAGCCATTTCTTTTGTAGATGCTGATAGAGATAAGCTGGCAGAATCAAATGGAAAGTTTGCTCAGTATCTAAACAAAATTTTAGATGTGTATTTTTCCTATCACCGTGATGCATACAGCACAAAAGGTTGGTTCAGTAAACTGGAACTAGAGCAATGTCAAGTATTGTTAGAATGTCTGCTGATGTTAGTTGGAACTCGTAAATTTCTTATGTAGGTGTTTACCTTCACGACCCTACAACCCTTCTTGCTGCTGTTGATCCTTCGCTGATCACCTATACAGAAGGTGCTGTCCGAGTCCAGACTACTGGCATCACTAGGGGTCTAACATTGTTCTATAACAAACAGAAAAGGTAGAAGATCTGCTCATACCTATTTATATTATCTTTTACTGAAGTATTCCACTGCTAACGGAAATGGTTTTATAACAACCGATTGCTTATATCCATTGTTCCTTTTTAGCTATTGCCAGATTTCATTTTCTCATTATAATTTTTACATAATAATGGAAAATGTAAAGAAAATTAGACTGTCAGTTTTAACTCCATGAAGTATAGACTATGAGATTAAACTATTTAATTCCCTCTAATTTTTTTATAGGGAAACTCAGTAGTTTGCTGCAGACTAGTGGTGTAGAACTTTTTTCTAGTGGGGTCAATGTTTTCTCACTTTGTAGGCTTACATTTAAAAGTTCATGAAAAGTATTTTGACTGAATTTTTATTTATTTTTAAATGAATACTAGTGAAAGTATAATCTGGCTCACTTGAAATAGGAAAGTATGAAACCATTGTCCTAGGAAAATGAAATAGATACAAAAACATGACGTAACGTATATATTTCATGATTCCGGTCACTATTGTCAATATACTTTTCCTAATCTTGATTTGTAGAAAATAAAAAAGATTTAACTGATAAAATCCTTGGGGTTTGTTTGGGGCGTCCTCTTTAATGGTTTTCAAGCAATCTATTAGAGCAAGCAAAAATCTCTCTTTTTTATCGTCTCTCTGTTCCTACAAATTTGAACTTTCACTACATAAAACCAGGTTTCAGGGAGTTACTGAATGGTCTGATAAACCCTCGGTCAAGGTGGCAGTCACTGTTGATGCTCCAACCGTCGTGAAATTGGTCATGGATCGGTTAATGCATTCTTAAATTTATTCAGAAAGAAACTCATGTTGTTTGAAGATTTTTTCCATCCAGTTATTTGGCCCTGGGCATTTCAATTCATCTCTGTTTATGCTTAAATTGGAGTTCAAGAATGTATTCTTCCTTGGACCGTGTAAAGAAGATCCTTTTGGTAATTGAAACGAAACAAAACGATGCGATTGATTCTATGTTATTACAGTGCTGTATCCAAGTGAATATATGAATAAAGATCAATTTCATGTACTTCTGAGCCTTCGTTAGCTGAATGTTTATCGGTTACCACTGAACCTTCTTCCTCATGTTGATAGTTCTTAGACAATGGGATTCTTTGTTACCTGTCCTCTTCACTATTATGGTAGACGTTTTAATGCTTTTGCATAAGGCTAATGTCGTTGGGTGGAGTTTAAAGAACTGCTTGAATTGATGTTGTAAATTCTCTACAGTCGGGTTCTTTGATAAGTGTGTTTTGTGTGTTTATTTAGATTCTTAAATCTACTTAATATGCGAATCTCCCAAATCGATTGAACCTTAATCTCCCAAATGCGAAGTTCAGAAATTCATTCCGGCATCATCATCCCGTTAATTGAACCCCCAAAAGGCAAACGTCAAGGGAATCACACAAGCCCAACATTCTCTCTACCACCCAAGTATTCATGCTCCTCCTCATGTATCTATTATTTTTAATATTTAGATTGTATTGTTCAAATTAGATTTTTGCGTTTGGGTGTATTTATTTATCTATTTGATTTTGACATGAAATTTTTTTTTTTTTTTTCATTTGATTTCATCTGGTTTTTTTTTTTTTTCTCGGTTGCTATGGTTTATCAGAAAAATAAGACACAGATGTGGGAAGTGAAAATGTTTGACGAATTATGTTGATTGAATGATTGGCGATTCGATTTAAACTAACTTGTTCGAGGACACAAACAAGGGAAAGACGGAAATATTATATTAAAGAGATGAGCCTCTCTTTGCCTCATACATTGCTTTGTTAAGCCTTCTGATTTTTCATGTTATTTTGTTTGTCTGGATAGTAGCATTCTTTACTATACTTTAAAATTCATTGTTCAAAATGCAAGTAAGGTGAAAAATGTCATTGAGTTTTTTATTACAGGTTTGCAGTTTATCCATTGTTGTCTCCTTAAAATTCTAAAGAAAATTAGTGTTGCGGTCGTTAGTAGTTTACGGTGTACACCTTTCCCCTTTTTAGGTGCTATGGTAGGGAAGAACATGGGCGTTTGTCATGTAGGAAGCCCGAGCAATACTTGTCAAAATGCCCAACAAAGAAATGATGCCCAAAATGTGGTGAGAGCTTTGAGAAATGTAGGCAGGTAGAGAAATTACCAGTGTTAAAAGACCCCGTATCGGACCAGTCGGTTCAGACTGGAAACCTGAGAACCGGGACCAGGTCCGATCTGGGTGACTGATTTACAACAAGGTGTAATTAAACCATTTTTAACCTGCTGAACCGTCCGAGTTTTCGAAAAACCGCTGGCCCAATTGTAAGTGAACTGGCCGGGCCAAAGATCTTGTAGACAAAGCCCAAAATTTCACTCTCTCTCATTTTACGCTGTGAAAAATTGAAAATCTTTATCTTCATCTCCTGCTAAATGTCTCCTACAGTTCCCCAAGTATCCAAGACTTTAATTTCAAGTGGTATTAGATGGAAGAAGAACATGTAAGTCTGACTTAATTACAGATTCAAGTAATAAATTTACAAAGTCTGAGTTGGAATGGTTTGGCAATTTGCCTGTTGTTGCAAATAGCATTACTACATCTAATTACTGACAATTTGCCTGATATTGCTACTGAAATAAGAATACAATATAGAACCAAAACTTAAGCTAATCTAACATATACAATGCTTTATGGAAACTATTTAGTCCACCAGGAATGTTGAGGTTTTTGGTTATATGTTCAAAGCACTGGATGGGGTTCTGAATGTGTCTAAAGGAACACTTTTGATGTAATGAAATGGACAAGAAGCATTGTCAGGTAACACTCTTCTAAATACTACAGCTATTTCTACCAATCAGGGGATTAGAGCAAATTTTACTTTGGTACTTATGGATGAGAGACACAAGTGAATGTGTAGAGCAGTCTGGTTATCACACTTTAAGATGAAGTAAAAATCCAAACAGAGTAACAAGTACCTTAATGTATAAACAAAGATGCTGAGAGACTTTCCTGTCTTGAAAATTTGACCTACTAAGCATTTTGAGGAATGCTACACTTACACACTTGGTTCACATTCACTTTCACATCCCTCTCACGTGGGGGGTGGGGCCCGCATTCTATGTGAGAGGGATGTGAGAGGGAACGTGAACTGAACATTTAGCATTTTTGGAGCATTTTTAGCACTGCTTTCTCTGTAATAAAGAAATGCAAAAATGGACTGCTCCAATATATATGCCAAGATCCTTTACAAGTTACTTGATATAATAGTTAAGTAAAGATTAAAAATGTATACATTGACTAAACCAGCGAATAATTATTATAGTTAATGATGAGGTTTTGAATGTCGAAGCTGAACCAAGGTGGAAATTTGTTGCATATGATTCATCTTTGATCATGAAGTTGGAAATTTGTTCTATATGATTCATCTTTTGTTGAATTTTGTCATACAGATTGATCTTTAGTCTCCAAAATTACATAAGGTTAATCTAGTTGGCGGTGAAAATGTTATAATTTTACTATACAATGAAAATAGTTAATAATATGTTTGACAGGAATTGACCCACCGGTTCAGTGATTGAACCACTAACCCGTTAATCCATTGCATTCTCTGGGTTAGTGTCCGGGTAGGGTCGAACAACTATGGAAATTACTTTAAACGTAGGGTGGTTGTTATTTTACTGTAGTAGAGATTGCAGTCTTCAAGTGGAAGTCTGAAGGTGAGTTTAGTGGCAAATCGAGTTGTGTTCAAAATCTGTCGTGCATGTTCTAGATGCCCAAATCACAGAAAAAGAAGACTTGGAGATATTCTTCAACATCACTATCTGCAAGGAAAAAGGAGCGATGGAGGCTAACGGGAAGGAAAAGGAAAAGTTCTAGTTTAGTAGTTCACTTTGTTTGCAACTTATGCAATATGTTTGTTAATCTTGTTGTAAAATATGTATGTTGTATGTTCATCCGTGTTTTGGTAGTTAGTTGTCTGTAACCATGCTATTGGAGTTCATCTAGAGGAAGATGAAAATGTTCACTTTCTTTGTAATCATGTCATTTGAGTTCATTTTGTTTTAAGGTACAAGGATTATTTTGTGAATCCATTTGATGAAAATGTTTCACATATGGTACAATCTGCTTACAAGTTTTGCAATTCACGCACAATTAGCAAAACTCATTTCCTGAAAATGTGGTTTTTACTCAATGTATTTTTTATCAATATGTTCACAAAGTAGGTAGAAGCTATGACAAGAACTCTCGGCCAAGCGAAACACATTTAGTGAAATCCACATATTAAAAGATACAAAATATATACCACAGAATTACAAAGGACAAACGAGTTTAAACACCGAGATTCATTTGCTATCACAAAACTACAAGCTAAAATTAGAGGACATTTAACGTACACAAATGCAACATTATCTCTTCATCCAAAGAACAATCCTATATTAGCTCTTTAGATGATGGATATTTCAAGTCATCGACTGTGTTCATGTCGTCCATCTTCCCTACAAGCATCACTATTCCATCTTGTCCGCTTCATTTATGTCCATTCCAATTTTGATGCATCCGTTACATTGCGATTGTACAACATATCATTTCCCTCAGAAGCCATGTCAACTTTAGAATGAAAGAATTTAGGGTCTTCCTCATAATCTGTAAAGAGCATGAAAACAATTGAATTCTTAACCTTTGGTATATACACTTAAACTAAATAACTTTCTTTCTATCGGCATGGATTCCATATTCAGGTTCAGCTAAAAAATGGCAGAACAAAAGATTCTGCTAAAAAATATGGAAGCGGACACACACAACAAAATTTCAGATTCAGGCCAAAAATTTACACAACCATTCAGAAGCGGCCAAAAGTTCAGAAAATGGCATAACGTCCATGATTTTTATTCTTGTCATGACATGGTACTCAATACACAAAACTTGAGCAGGAGTGTAAAAGTACCTAGATGAGATGTGAAAGAATTATGAAGTAAGAGCTATGCACTTCAGCATGTGAGCAACAAAAAATGTAGAAATAAGAGCTATGAACTTCATTGTTCAGTACACAGCTAAACCAATCTCGAAGCTTAAAAATTACACTTTCTTCCAATCTTAAAGTTGATAAATTCTTTACCTCCATTTGCTCCTTCCATGTATGCAACTTTAAACCTCCTACAGATGTGCTCTTGTCCAAATCATCCGACTATTTTTCAAGTTTATTTGCGGGATTTGGGGGTTAAGATTTAGGGCGTGCGTGGGCAGTATGGCAGGTGTACGAGTTCAATATCACCTGAAGTTGGAGCATGGTCTAGCAATAGGGTTCTTCGTACAGCTTCTGATTTGGGGAAAAAATACTTAGCCCCTGTTTGGTCCCAATTAAAATCTGATTTTAATCAAGTCGAAGTCAAATAATCAATATTAACCACATCTTTTATGGGTCCCACGACTTTTCAACCACACATTTCAAAACCTTTTATCACAATCTATTAAAAATCTAATTTTAATCCCCACAAAACACCCTATTAGTATGTAAGTGTGTCTTAGGAAAATTAGTTTTGATTTGGCATGGCTTAAAGTCGTGTGTTTCAAAAACATGTGTCTACCGCAGCTTAAGGTGATGCCTTCGGATGCCACCTGGAATTCTGTGAAGCTAAGATAGATAAATTCAAACTGCATTTTAGAGAGTGATGAATGGAGGGTAGTGTTTGTAACTCCAGTGACCATTCAACAGCAACACAAAGTACAATGACTATAACGAGACATTATACTAAGTTCGGTAATTAATGAAACTTTTTACTCCAAAAAGGAGCATCGCAGTTCAGAGTTGTAAATCGAAAGTTATGTGT